CAGAGTTACTACGACTGTTCTAACTCGGTCAAGCTCGCCTGGTATGGCAAATATAGGTAATGACCAAGCCCTTGAGGAAGCACAGAAGATGGTGAAGGTGGGAAAATCTCTGGGCATCAGTTTTAAAAGGAAGGAAAATGAAGTATTACAAAGAATTATGGAGCTAAAAAAGAATGATACGGAGAGGGTCGCTTAAAGGGATGAAGCAATTCTAGTTTAAACAGTTTCATGGGTGATATAGGTGTTCAATTTCATGTTTCCAATGAAGTTATTGTCTTGGAATGTTAGGGGGTTTGGAAGGCCGAAGAAGAGAAGAAGAATCGGGGCATTACTTAAAGAGAGAAAAATTGATTGTGCCTTCTTTTAAGAGACTAAGAAATAAGGTATGTTAGATGATTTGGTGAGATCGGTTTGGCATGTTGATGAAATGAAGTATATGTTTGTGGATGCGAAAGGTTCGACTGGTGGTTTGTTGTGCGTTTGGAAGCCTTATGTGTTTGCATTATCTCAGTGTTGTGGTTCTAGAAGGTTCATCTTGTTGTCAGATACATTACTTCCAGATTTTAGGTGTGTTTTGATTAATGTTTATGCGCCAAATGATGCAATAAGCAGACGGCAAGTCTGGAAAGTTATTTCCAGCTTCAAATCAGGATTTCCATATCCTTGGTGTGTGGAGGGCGACTTTAATGAAATTAGAAATGTAGGGGAAAGAAAAGGGCACATAAGAAGGGATAGAGGGATGGTAGAATTCAATGAGTTTATTGAGGGGTTAGCTTTGTATGAAGTTCCAATGCATGGAAGGCAATTCTCATGGAGTAATTCAGAAGATGAGGGTACAGAGTTCTCCTAGCACCTGAGTGGATGAGAAATTTTAAATTTAAGTTGTGCGGCCATCCAAGGAGTGTGTTTGACCACTATCCCCTAATATCGATGGAGGATGAAAGGGATTGGGGGCCAAAGCTGTTTAGGTTCTTAAATGCTTGGTCATTACATCCTAAGTTTCTAGATGTGGTCAAGCAGTCGTGGGAGGCTTCAAATGTCTCTGGGTGGGCTGGGTTTATCATAACAACAAAACTTAGATATCTCAAGTTGGAATTAAAGAAGTGGAATGATGAGGTATTTAGCAATGTTTCTTACTCACTCAAAAAAGCTGAGGTGGAGCTTCATGAGCTTGATCCGTTGGCTGAGTCTAGAGATTTGACAAAGGCTGAAATAGTCAGGCGAAGAGAGGTAAGGAAGGAGGTATGGTCTCTAAGGAAGAGGGACGAGTGGTTATGGCTTCAAAAGTCTAGACTGGACTGGAGCTTGAAGGGGGACAAGAATACAAGGTATTTTCATACCACTGCATCTTGTAGGCAGAATCGAAATTTACTGAATTCAATTACAGTTGAAGGAGTACTCCATAAGGATCCCACTATGGTGAAACATGAGGTGTTTAAGCATTTTAAAGGTTTGTTCACTGAAAATTTGAGGAATAGGCCAAAATTGAAGGGTCAATTTAAATCTATTGGCCACGACCAACTAGCTGGAAATCTGGAAGCAGCTTTTTTTGAAGATGAGGTGTGGGCTGCTATTAAGAGTTGTGATGGAAATAAGTCTCCTGGTCCTAATGGGTTCAACCTAATTTGCTTTCAGAAGTGCTGGGAAATTTTGAAGTCTGATGTCCTTCAATTTTTCAAAGAATTTTATGAAAATGGGAAATTGGTGGCTGGTGTGAATAATTCTTTTATCACTTTGATCCCAAAAATTGAGTGCCCAACTAGTTTATCAGATTTTAGACCAATTAGTCTTATTGGGTCTTTGTATAAGATTGTAGCTAAGGTTTTGTCACATAGAATCAAGAAGGTGATGCCCAGGGTGATTGGAGAGGTACAATCATCCTTTTTGGGAGGTAGAAATATTATGGATGGTGTCCTCATTGCGAATGAGATTGTTGATTGGTAGAAAGGAAGTCGAAGAAAAGGGTTGATACTCAAGCTTGATTTTCAAAAAGCGTATGATTCTGTCAGTTGGGAGTGTTTGTTCTCTATGATGGAAAAGTTTGGGTTCAGGGCAAGGTGGTGAGGTTGGATCAAGGAGTGTTTAGCATCGGCCAAAGTGTCTGTGTCAGTGAATGGCTCCCTTACGGCTAAGTTCATTCCTGAAAAAGGCCTCAAGCAAGGTGATCCGTTGTCTCTATTCCTTTTCAATTTGGTAGCTAAAGGTCTGAACATGTCAATGGAAAGAGCCAAATCACTGGGGCTGGTTAGGGGAGCTATAGTGGGTAAAGATGAAGTGGTGGTCTCACGTCTCCAATTTGCAGATAATTCAATAATTTTTTGTGAAGCTAATATGGAGGAGGTCATGGTTATTAAACGAATTTTGAGGTGTTTTAAACTGTTTTTAGGGTTGAAGATTAATTTTCATAAGAGCTCCATATGTGGAAGTGGAGTGTCTAATGTTGAGGTGATGAAGTTTGCTTCCAGACTTAACTGTGCAAGTCAGAAGCTTCCACTAATGTATCTTTGTCTGCCTTTGGCGGCTAGTCCCAGGTTAAAGAAAACATAGAAACCAGTAATCGAAAAGTGCAGAGTCAGATTAGCTTCTTGGAGAAGGCAATTTTTATCTTTTGGTGGGAGAGTGACTCTTATAAAATATGTGTTATCTAGTCTTCCTATCTATTACTTATCTATCTTTAAGCTTCATGTATCTGTAGCTAAGCTAATAGAAAGGATTCAAGCAAATTTTCTCTAGGGAGGGTCTGAATTGAAGAGAAAGGTCCACTTGGTTAGCTAGTTGGAAGCAACCAAAAGTAAAAAGAATAGGGGGTTGGGTATTAGAAGAATCAAGGTGGTTAATGATTGCTTGTCAGCTAAATGATGGTGGAGGTTCGGGGCTGAATCAAACACCTTGGGGAAAAGAATATTGGCTGCCTATTACTACTTTCATTGGTACTTATTCAAAAATCTGGGGTGGAATCATTAGCATAGGTCAATCTAATCGTCAGCTTTTGAGTGTTTTTCTAGATAATAATTGGGTGGTGGTGGGTAATGGGAGTAGAATTCATTTTTGGGCTGATTACTGGATGGGGGCATGCTGTGTTAAGAATGAATTTCCTAGGTTATTTAGTCTATCAATAGAAAAAGAGGTGTCTCTGAGATTAGTGGTACAGAGGAATGAAGTCTCAACTAGGTGGAATTTCAAGTTTAGAAAAAAGTTATTAGGATGGGAGGCTGATGAACTTAACAGATTGATTACCTTTTTAGATCAGAATTTGGTTGGCCTCTCTGATAGGGAGGATGGTCTTGGGTGGTTGGCATCTTCATCTGGTGAGTTCTCTGTCTCATCTCTGTATTCTTTGGTTGTGCCTTCATCTTCACTAGTGGTAACAAAGTTGATTTGGAATAATTTTTCTCCCCCAAAGGTCCAATTTCTTGGTTGGCTAGCTTGGAAGGGGAGGCTGAAAACAGTTGGTTTTTTACAAAGGATTGGAGTGTTGGGGCCAGATGCATCTACTATGTGTGTGTTCTGTAATGGGGAGCTTGAAACTGTATTTCATCTTCTCATCTGGTGCCCGTTTGCTTGGAGAGTTTGGTGTAATCTGATGCAGTGGTGGGGACTGACTTGGGTAATCCCACAAACAGTGAAAGGAATCCTTAATTGGTGGAGGGGCTTCAAGTGGAGAAATTATTTGAATATGATCTGGCAAATTATACCATTTGCAGTATTGTGGTCTTTATGGAAATTTAGGAATGAGAAAGTATTTTGTGAAAGTTAGATGCACTTGGAGGAGCTGTGTGAATTAATCAAGACAAGGATTGCATTGTGGGCTAAATCTTATTCCAAGGATTGTTGTTACTTAGTGCAGCAGATTATTTGCAACATTCAGGAGATTCGGCTTGGTTTCTAGCTATCATTGGTGTTAAGCTGAGGATGGTTAATGGTCAGACTATGTTTGAGGTGAAGGGTGAATTTTTGGCGTTTTTTCAGCTATTTTTGCTCTATGCTGATTTTTTTGCAGGACAATTTTGCTGTCATTGGATGCTGGATGTCTTCTTGACTCCTTGGATCAGGAGATGTCTCAAGTGAGGTGTGATAGGGCTGCTGATGCATTGGAGTGAATCTAGTTGCTGTTAGTTGTTGTTGCTGCTAATGGTTACTGCTCTTTTTGGTTTTGGGTTGATGGTAGTTGTTGTTGAATTTTGCTGCTGTGTTGTTCTGAAGGGTTTGGTGTTGTTTTCATTTGCTTATTGTTTGTCTGTGTCTTGGTCTTGCAAACAGTGGATCTATGGCGGGTTGCTGCTGTGCTATGTTGGTGGGGTTTTTGTTGTATTTTGTTGCCCTTTTTTCTTTGCTTTGGTTGGTTTCTCGCCAACTTTTGATGGTGTGCTAGCAAGGGATTAGGCGGGTTTATCAGTGCCTAGTTGGAATTGGTATGTCTCGCGATGATACTTTTTGCACCCATCTTTTTTCCTTTCCTTTCTTAATGTAAAGAGTTCTTTGTTCATCAATAAAGGTTTTTTGGCTGATCAAAAAAAAAATCTCAACCACCTAACAAAATTGGGATAAAATGTATCCCTCTTCAATTTTTTTTTTTTGCTACATGATTTGTTTAGGGGATCCAATTAGAAAGAGAATTGTTAACATGATTTTAAATAATTAGTTCAAATCCATCGTGATAAAGTCATTGAACTTAATTTTAAAATTCATAAGTAAACTACTTTATTTAAATTTAAGTTATTGTCCATAAATGATTAAAATTAAATCTCTTGATTTAAAATGCACGCTAATCTTAATCTAAATGGACCCTAAAATTATGATTATAAAAAATTTAGTCAAAAATTTTGTTTGGATTAATTTTTTGAAACTATATTTTTAGAAAAATAAAAATTAATTTGACAAAAATAAATATTAAAAAAATATATTTCTTCCCTCCAAAAACACAAATTTATATAAAAATAATAAATGTTATTAATTTTTTTTAATGTTTTTCACCAAATTAACTTTTAATTATTTATATATTTTTAAATCTGAAACCAAAACAGAGTCGCCGTCTCTCTACTAAAAATTCTGTGAGAGTTGTTTTGTATATTCATATTGCTGCTGCAATTGTCAGCGTTCGTGAGTTGGTGGTGACGATTGGTCACGTCTCTTCGTGTTTTTCATCTCTCTCTGGATCACTTTGGTATTCATTCGATCGGTAGCACCGTTTCACTCTCTTTATATTCTCATATGGCCCTTCACCACCAATACCCCTCACTCCTCTTCTCCAAAGGGTCTCTCTCTCTCTCTCTCTCTCTCGTTTGATTGATCTATCTCTATCTGTATCTATCTATGTCACTTGTTTTGATCTCATTTATTAATTGTCTTTTGCAGAAACGGCCAGGGAAACCTTCTAACAAACCTTCCATTGCACCCACACCCGTTTGCAACTCTCATTCACTCTGCGATGTTCCTCAACAATGGAGGTCCTCTCTCTCTCTCTCTCTCTCCTCTTTACTTCTTTAAACAAAAACGTAACTGTGACATTGTTACTTCCTCTCTGCAGTGGCAATCAATTCTCGCAAGAGGAGGAGAGAAGTTGCCGATACTGAATTATCTCTAGCACCCACTAACCTCTTCTCTCTACAACCACCACCACCACCAACACCGTCACCACAACCAGCACCACAGAAGATGTGTACGCCATTGTCATTGCCATTCTTGTCCTTCACATCCATGTTGACTGAAGATCGCACTGCCCAAATCGTAGAACAGAGTGACCAAATCGACGAAATCATCAAAACCCATGTTATTATCTCTCTCAAATTCAAATGGGTCTCCCTTTTTTTTTTTTTTTTTTTTTTTGAAAATGCAAATTTTTTTTTTTTTTTTGAACATGCAAATGGGTCTCCCTTAATTCTTCATTTTTCTCAACTTCAAAAACCATGTTTGTAAATTGGAATGTAATGCAGGCTGACCAGTTGCGGCGCACGTTAGCGGACAAGTGGCAGAGGCACTACAGTACGCTCATATACGCAGCGGAAGAGAGAGCGTCGAAGAGGCTGAAAGAGAGAGAACTTGAGTGCGAACTGGCGGTGCGAAGGAACGCAGAGTTGGAACAGAGGGCGGCGCAGTATAGCGAGGAGGCGCATGTTTGGCAGGCAAAGGCGAGGAAGTTGGAGGAGACAGCGGCGTCGTTGAGGGCGGCGCTGAGGCAGCAGGCTAATGTGCACGGAGGGGGAGGAGGGAGTAGGCAAGGATGCACCGGGTGCGGAGGAGGAGTGGCGGAGGACGCTGAATCATCGTACGTGGACCCGGACCGAGTTGAACCGGTGAGCATGGCATGTAAAGCGTGTGGGAAGAGAGTAGCGACGGTGATGATGTGGCCGTGTCGGCACGTGTGTGTTTGTAGGAGATGTGAAGCCGTTACTAAAGTATGCCCTGTTTGCCTCTCTCTTAAAACCGCCAGCCTTGAAGTCTTTCTGTCCTAGGCCCCACCACCATCTGTTTATTTCTCACACATTTTTTTTTTTTTTTTTTTTAAAAAAATTTGGTTTCTGGTTGTATTTTGGGTTGGAGAATCAATGAAATTCATTATTATTATTTTTTTTTTTCTTTTCTTTCTTCCTTATTATACTAGAATCTAAAGAGAAGATTTAACATCTAGTGTTGATTTTTAAAAAGAATTCATTTCTTATATATAAGATTTAACATCTTAAATTTGTCACGTTTTAAAAATGATAATAAATTTGATTTGTCATTTGATATGTTTATTGAAAAAAATATATATTTTGAAATTTTAAAGGGTTATTTGACAAAAAATTCATCAGACAAAAGATAAATTAGTTAATGCCATTCTAAATGCACTTGAGTTTCGGTGTGTAGGAGGCTTTGATCAAAATTCACTCACAATAAAACTTCAATACATTAAGGAAAAGTATAAAAAAAAATTCTTAAAAAGTCCAACACAAATCAACATTATTAAAACATTAAACTTTAAAATAATATAACTTTCGTTGCAGATGTCAATTTTTAATAAAATTAATATTTTTAAAATTTTCTTATCATATCTATCAAATAAAATCCATGTTCATTATGAAATTCTTAAAAAAAAAATATATATATATATATATATTATTGTTATAGTAAAAATTGATATAAACAGTAACAGTAACATGTTGCTCTGGCAATATTGTCCAAGAAAAAAAATATATATTTTATTTTGTTCTTACTCAATTATGTGTTTTCTCCTTAAGAGGTTTATAAAGCAAAATAAATTGGGCTACTTTTTCACCAAATAAAGGTCCAATGGAAGGATTTTGACTAAATTTTCCAAAATTATACACCAAAGTGTTGTTGAATTTGTAGAGGGGAAAAAATGAAAATAGTATTTCACTTCCTCTTCATTCATTTCTCTTTACTTTTTTGTCTTTGTTGCTACAAATATATATATATATATATATTTAGAATTCAAGATCAAATGGATTTGTTTCCAATTATGCAGAAATTATTTGATTTTTTTTAAAACAAAAGTTGATTATCTGTTGAACATGTTAAATCTTTTCTGAGATGGTATATTGCAGTAGTAATTGCAGTAGTATAACATGAGCAATTAGATAAGCCAATATGCACAGTAGAATCTTCAATGAACAATGATTTAGGAGAATTTGGGAGATAAATCTCATACAACAATAATATTTGCTACATTCACGAAAAAATTTAAAGAAAAATAGTCGTGGCTCATTTTCGTTTTGGACATGATTCCTCAACCATACTTGGAATGAATTTAAAACACCATTTTTCTTTCACTTTCTGTGATTTTGACCTAAATTTTGACATGAGATGCAATTATGAAAAAAAAAAAATGAATTTATTTAAGGGAGATGCACTAATAAATCCCAAATTAATAACTTATACACTATTTAGTCCTAAAAGTTTTCTTATAGACTGCCCATTACAATGTTTCAAACATCATATTAATGTTTCGAACATTAGATTTCGAACATCAGATTAATGTTTCGAATATTAGATTTCGAACATCAGATTAATGTTTCAAACATTAGATTGATGTGCAAATGGGACTAAATGAAGCATAAAAAAACTTTTAGGACTAAATGGTTCAACTTTTCAAAAACTAGGACTTATGAGTAAATTTTCCATTAATTTATCTGACAAAGAAAATAGGTGAATATTGATTTATATAAGCCAACTCCACTTGAGACACTATTATTTGTTTGGTTTGGTTTGGTTTGGTTTGATAAACACCGACCCCCAAATCAACCCATCCCCTCCTGCTTTAGATGCAACATACACAAAAATATTCACAGAGAGATATGGATAATATAGATCACAGTAAAAATAAAAATAAAAATAAAAAAGAAAAAGAAAGATAACAGCTAACAGAACAATGAAACTTAAATTAAAGATGGAAATGTTTTTCTTTTCAATTACTGTACAGACTCAATCCACACTCAAAATACATTACAAGCGATTGAAATGAAAAATGAATTGGTTTACACACTACCCATAAGCTATTGAAATGAAAAATGAATTAGTTCACACACTTCCCATATTCATTAAGTGTGTATTGATCTCATCCAAAGTAGTGGAACCCACTATTTTGCACAAATGAAAATTTGTGTTTTGTTTGCAAACTTCGAAAGTATTTCAATAAAATCCAACTCAATGAAATGGGACAACGCTCAAAATAAGACCATAAGCGATGAAATGAGACAAAGCTTTACTACATTATATGGAGAAAGGCTTCGAATACACATCGAATGCTTCATTAGCTGTTAACTGCGGTTCCTGCAGCAAAAGAATCAAAGTTTAAAATTAGCCTCACGATCACCATTGTCGTCTGACCAAGTTAGCGAAATATACATACATATAACTACTAAGATTATGCATGAGAGAATTTTGATATTAAACTACGGTTATAATCAATGAGTTTAACACTTGCCATCTTGAAATTCAGCATATTTTGAAAAGCTAGATAAGATAGATATTAGGAAAAAAAGAAACAAAAAAAAAATCATGGATGCTTTTGCTCACATATTTTCAACAATACGGATTCTTTTTCATGTTATCCAGAAAGAATAAGCATACATAATCATACTAATATAAGCTGGGAATCTGTGTTGGCCAAAAAAGAGAAAAATAAAATAAACCTTTTCGCCTTGCTACAAGAAACAAAAAAAGAAAAATGATCTACTACATGGGTTACAGGTATACACTGAATGTGAGATGTAGCAAAAAACTGAGAGAAGCCAATGAATAATGCCTGAGAAAAGGTAACGTACGATCTAAGTTAGATCATCTAACTAATAGTTCCACACTACAATCTCTCCATTTGATTTCTCGTAGAAAATAAGAAATTTCATCCTTTTAAATTATTACCTTGACCGTGCCTGAAGTGAGCATAAAATCATAACACGTATATTTCTGATTCTAAGAATTTTAACCAAGTGTATAGTCCTTGACAGAAATAACGAAAAATGATTTATATAGCTAACCCCATTTGATTGTGACACAAGGCATAGTTTGGTTTGATTCTGATTCTAAGAACAAGAAAAAGCCTAACATACTTCTTGTCAGTTCCTATGGTCCTAATATCCAACAATCATTTATTGCCTCACACATTGATGCTTACAATCTAAACCACAATTCTTAAGAAATTGGTTCAGCTTTAACGAAATGAAAACTAAATCCATCTTAGCAAATTGTGCATGATTATCATGATACTTGAACAATTTTATATGCCTTGGATATAATTATGAATATGTTATTATTATGGCTCCAAGGCACTTGAAACAAGCTTATGTTAAAGCAAGTTTAAGGCAGGTTGGTTGGTATGAAGTGCATGAATTATTGTTACGAGTTTCTGCTATAATTGTCTTGTAATTTCCTAAATTAGATATGCATAGTTAACAATAAGTTGGAGCATGACGCAATACCAATTGATAAATTGACTACTGAGGTAATAAAATAACATGAAGATCTTGTGAGGAAATGAAAACCACAATACCATATCTTTATAATGGTTGAGCATCATAAATGAGTCATAAGGAATAAAACAGTTACATCTTGAGTATTTCCTTTCATTCTCAAGGTTCTATTTAGTGAGATATCAAGCACAATCAGAATAAGTGCAGCCCTTAGGGATTACCTAGAATTATGGATTTCAGGTGTCCCCAAATATTTGGGACAAATTTTGTTGAGTTGTATGAATTTCAAGAGTACCATTCTGTTTTCTAAAATTTTAACAGCTAGAACCACAACCTAACAGCCTTGTATCTCTCGCTAACCTTGTGAACCACGGTTGGTAATTTCTGATTTTATCATATAAACAGTAACTTCCGGATTCAGCCAATTAGTGTCAACCAACCATTTCATATTGTTTGCACCTATGCTACCTAGAACCAAGGTTGTTAAAATCGGGATCCTACGTGGGATCGTTGAAAGGGACTCGTGGATCGGATCGTAGAATTGGCCCGAGAATCATAAGATTCTACGTTCAATATAAAATAAAATAAAAAATTATCAATATTGATAATATATGTTACGTAATTTTAAAAAGATTAAAGAAAAATGATAAATTGGATATAATGCATCTTTTATGTTTCAACATCAATTAGAAGAGACATTTGAAAAAAGTATTTATATTCAAATTTTTTATATAGATATACACATATACATAAATATATATAAGAAATAAATAATGACAAAAAAAAACATTAGGACCGGGATCGTAATAGAATCAGCATCGTCTGCGATTCTATACATTTTTATGAATAGGATCGTAATAACTTTAAGATCCTACTAAATTTAAGATCCTAGTGTGATCTGGATCATTTGGCACAATTGAAATCGTAGAATTGTAAGATCCTACGATCCGGATCGAGATTCTGATAACTATGCCTAGAACGTGGAGTGTTGGGGTACATAGAATGGCAACGGCAACATCGTATGCCACATGCTATAAAATGCGGTTCAATAGGAGTAGATTTACACAAATTACATTATCAATTTTGTTTTAACAATTAGACATCCAATAGAATAAAGTTTACTTCTTTTATAATAAAAAATTACGTGTATCATGTTTTGGAACATGCATTTCAAGATGTAAATTGCTAGGGTCTAAGCATTTGGTAGTAACACTAACTTTATCAAAGACTTATTTATTTAATTTTAGGAAAAAATCCACTTTACATTGCATCCCCGTGGTTTAACACTAGAGAACTTTACCCTTGCAATTCAAATATAGACAAATTGCAACCTCCGTCAATGATAGATGTGAAATTAACTTCTAACACCACAAATCCACTTTACATTGCATCCCTGTGGTTTAACACTAGAGAACGTTACCCTTGCCATTCAAATATAGACAAATTGCAATGATAGATGTGAAATTCACTTCTAACTCCATAATTTATAACTTAAACAACATTAACATCCCATGAAGAAAAAAAAAATTATTCAAATAAATCACAAATTAAATCTACTTAATTCAATTAAAAACAAAATTAATTCAGTTAAATCACTTAATTTTAATTTAATTATATTTTACATACAAACTGATACATATATATACATATACACAATATTTATTTATATATACATACACTATATTTAACAACAAATCTTTTGACGGAGATGATCGGGGAGGAGAGAGGGGGCAACAGCGATGGTCCGGGAGGGGATAGGAGGCAAGAATGCAAATCAAGGAGGGAAGAAGGGGCGGTGGTGATAGGAGGGGAAAGGAAGAGGAGGTTGCGAGACAACGGTGGACATAGGGGGTGGCAGGGAGAGGCCATCGTGCCTACAAAGTTTTCAAGAATCCCATAGTATATATACTATACAATTTTGTTTTGTACGACCAAGTGTCAATGAAATGAACCTCCATGTTTGTTATAATTAATAAACTAATATGCCTCATTGTAAATTTTTATTAAGTATTTTGTTTTGTATGTCCAACTGTCAATGAAATGTCCCTCCATGTATTGTTATAATTAATAAACTAATATGCCTTGTTGTAAATTTTTGTTAAGTATCTTCAAATGAATTTTTTTTTTCTTTAAAGTACTAATTGGTATTTTTTAAGTGGTATCTGAATTAATTGTGATTGGTTTAGATAGTGCTGTCGTTATATTTATTTTAGGTAATGTTTGATTTATTGGAATAAATGTGGAATGAAAATTCCGCAAGTTCTCTAAGAAATGACCACTTACAATAGTGAATGATAATTTTATTTATAAAAACATATTTTTTTTATTATTTTAATAAGCCAAACATGAAAATTGACATTCTAATAGAATTATAATTTTATTTCATCTTCATTTCGATAAATTGAACACTACCTTAGTGTTTCTTTAATATTTGTAACTTAGCATAATTATTTTCGCCACTTATCAATTTTTTATAGAAGCAATTATGGCTGCCTTTGACAATTGGTAAATATAGCCAAAAAACTTTTAAAAAAAAAATTGCTTAAAAAGTTAAAAATTCAAAAAGTCATACAAAAAAATCAAAATTCATTTTTATACTCTTTACTTTTTATACATTTTTTTGTTTAAAAAAAAAAATCAAAAAGTCATTCTCAAATGTTTTAGTTTTTTTTACTTCATATTTTAACTAAAAAACCAAAAAGTCACTTCCCAAACCAAACCTTAGTTTATGATGTGATAACAAAAGTAAAATAATTAGAATTTTATTATCAATTTTTGTAATTATATAGTTTGATCCCTTGTGCACAATTTCATAAGAATTTTATTATCAAATTTTGAAATTATATAAGTTGGCCCCTCCTATGCACAATTCATGCGTCTGCCACTGCTGCAGGAGGTTGGGGAGAAGGCGAGGGCAGCAGTCTAGGCACCGAGGGAGGCGGGAGGAGATAGGTGGCGGTAGGAGGGGCATGAGGACGTGGCTGATGGAGGAGGAAGGTTAGGGTTTGGAGAATAAGATGAAGGGAAGGACAAACTTGTCCTTTAACATTGTATTTTGACTTTGACTGACATTTTTTCATTGCCAACTCTCTATTTGGTGAGGGTTTGGAGAATAAGATGAAGGGAAGAAAGGAAATGTCGTTGCAGATGCACTTAGACGACAACATGGGGTTATAACTTCTTTGATGATTTAGGAATGGAAGTCCTTGGAGTTAATTTTAATGCATGATGTTCAACCAATAGAGAGTGCTTAGAGGGCATACATTGGTAGTTTGACCGTGTAACCGATTTTACTGGGTAAAGTTCGTCAAATGCAGAATTTCGATAGGTTTCTCGTCAGCAAGCTCGATGACCTTGTGGTGGATTTGATCGATGATTGTCCTACTGATTGGTCTGTGGACTCATATAGGGGATTGCGATTAAGGGGCAGGTTGTGTGTACCTAACATTGTTGAATTGAGGAAAGAGATTATGGATGATGTCCATAGGTCCCGATATACCATTCACCCTGGTGGGGCTAAGTTGTATCATGACCTGAAGAGGACATTTTGGTGGGAAGGTATGAAGAAGGACGTAGGAATGTATGTTTCTCGTTGTTTTGTGTGTCAACAGGTTAAGGCCGAACACCAATGATCGTTTGGGCTTTTGCAGCCTCTCGAGATCCCTACTTAGAAATAAGAGTACATCTCTATGGACTTCGTGGATGGATTGTCGCGGTCTAAGCAAAGCAATGAATCTATTTGGGTGACAGTGGATCGACTCACCAAGTCTACTCATTTTATTCCTATCAGTGTTCACCGAACTGCTGATAAACTAGCTAGGCTGTACATTCAGGAGGTGGTACGACTTCATGACGCGCTAGTTTTTATAGTTTCAGATCGTGATCCGTTGTTTGTGGCAGAGTTTTGAGAGAGTTTTCAGCATGCTTTGGGTGTTTGGTTAGACCTGAGCACAACTTATCATCCTCAGACGAATAGGCAAACTGAGCGGGTAAATCAGATCTTGAAAGATATGTTGAGAGCTTGTGTCCTCGATCTTGGTGGTAGTTGGGAATAACACTTGCCATTGGTGGAGTTTGCTTATAATAATAGCTATCACTCCAGTATCAAGATGGCACCTTTTGAGGCTTTGTATGGGAGGCCATGTCGATCACCTGCTTATTGGATGGAGGTAGGAGATGCATCGTTGCTAGGGCTAGAGTTGATGAGACAAACCACATAGAAGGTGAACATTATTTGGGAACGTATTAAGACTGCACAGAGTCGCCAGAAGAGTTACGCTGATACAAAATGTAAGGGGGTTGAGTTGAATGTTGGAGATTTTGTGTTTTTGAAGGTTTCGCCAATGAATGGTATCATGCGGTTCGGAAAGAATGGAAAGTTGGCACCTAGATTTGTGCAACCATACGAGATCACGGAGAAGATTAGTAATGTGACTTACAAACTAGCCCTACCACCTGCTTTAGCTATGATTCACAATGTGTTCCACGTATCTTTATTGCGGAAGTGTGTGCAAGACCCTTCCCAAGTAGTATCACCAGAGGTGTCGGAGATCAATGATGATCTAACGTATGTGGTGCGACCTGTTACTATTTTAGATCGAGATGTAAAGTAGTTACGGCGCAAGAAAGTGAACTTGGTGGAAGTGCAATGGAGCGAGGATGAGAACGATATCACCTGGGAATTAGAAGAGAAAGTTCGGCGTATGCACCCGGAGCTTTTTGCTTAGTACTCTCTCCTATCGAATCTCGGGATGAGATTCTTTTGAGGTGTGTATATTATAGCGACCCTGATTTTTCGTAAGGCATTAATTATTATTGTTACTTTATTTTATTTTTGTCTTTATTAATTATTGTATTTTAACTTTGACTGACATTTTTTCATTGCCAACTCTCTATTTGGTGAGTGTGGAACACTTCTGTCTTTTTGGATGGAATTAATAACAAGGGGCAAAGTGCAAAATGATCAAAACGATAAGGGGGTTTATTGGCAATTTTTAAATCACAAGTGGATAAAGTGCTTCAGGGTGAAACCATAAGGGGGTAAAATGAATTTTGTCCTTTAAATTTTATTCAGCTGAGCAAAATAAAACACATAATCCTTGTCAAACCAAATTGATTGTTCTATGCCCTAACTTCTTTTTTGGGGGTAAGTATATGCCCTAACTTGGTTAAGCTTCTAAGTAGATAAACAACTAAAAGTCATGGAGGGAAAATTATTTCCATGAATCTTCAATTTTTCTCTAGTACAACTATATTTTTGTAAAAAGATAAAACATCTTACTATTTTCACTCCTCGTTGACACGTTCAAAATTAAGCTACATTTGGTACTATCTTCATTTTTTTTTTTTTTTTTTTGGGTAAATTAAAATTTCATGCAAATCAAGCAACCCAGGTACAAAACAAAACTAGAACATACCCCAGGTCATCAAGCAAAAGCAAACCAAAAACATACTATATTTCTTAAAAAAAAAAACAACGCCCAATTAGTACACATTAATGTATGTTTGGGAGGGGAAAGATTGAATACACACCTAACTTTTGGCATAATGGACAAAGTGGTGGTCCCAAGACTTGAACCCATAACCTCAAGGTTATGAGGCCAAGTCTTATTGAACCAATTGTCACCCCTAAAAACATATTATATTTCTGTTGATTATAATATAATTTCGTTATGAATTCATAGCTTTCCTGCAGTGATATGCATGAAATGTACAACTTTGACGTAATGTGGGGAATTTTGTTCTTCAATTATTCTAAAATATAACCATCCCTATTTACAATTTGTTATGATGATTGCAATCAAATATAAACATTTTCATCGGCAAACATTCACAATATAAACATCTAACTCTGTTGCAGTAAAGAAAAACATACCTGTCTCATCCCGACACCCAAACTCCCTCCCGTCAAAAGCATAGTGAGAAGTGATGTGACAATGCCACCACCTAAATCATTGTTGTCTGTATTGCGGATGGTAGACCGCATTGCAGTTAGCATATTCCCATATGTAGTTGCGTTGCCACGTTCAATTGCTTGGATGAAAGAAAAGGTCATTGCACCAGTTGAAGTGACCTTAGATAGAGCCTGTCAACATAAAGATTTTCCTGGTTGTTTATTCCCCATTGTGAGCTGAAAGACATATATTTGAATTCTTGAAAAAAAAAATGAGGAAGGAGTTAATTAAATCAGTAAAGCATTACAGCTGTATCAGCAGAGGTTTGATCATCATCACAGCCACTGAAGGAAATGACCTCCCCACCACTTGTTCCTTTCCATACACCTGATCGGGGACGATGGTCCTCCCATATATACCGCCCAGTCCTATATCCCCAAAATATACATACATTATAATAATGAATATTAACTGCACATCAATAATTTTTTTAGAGAGGAAGAGGAGGAAAGCAAGAAAGGTACTAATGTTACATTTGGTTCACTAGAATGAAGTGGGAATGGAATGATCATTCCATAGTCTGGAATGACCATTTCCTTATAATGATGAATAATGATTCCATTAACAATATATTTTTCATCATTTTTGGTAGCGAACCAAACGTGTCCATTCCATTCAACATTCATTCCAATCAACCAAATACTACCTAAGTCTTTCAAGAAAGAATTAAAATACAATAGAAGGCCAGACTTCAATTTTTCCTTACCGACCTGTCCATCCTACAAAGGAATGGCAAATCTAACACAGTGCCACTATGACAAGCATCTATGATTGCATGAAGCTTGACCCCAGGAGGAAGAGGCCTGACAATTGTTGCATTAATCTCATCGTCGACAATCATTCCCTGTGTTTCAAAATCCAGGGGACAGAGTGTTTCATCAAACCCATCTATCTCATCCCCAGTGTAGTTCCTTTGCTGTGAACCATGACCGGAATAATGCAACACTAGTGAATCTCCTGGCTGACAACCTTGTACGAGCCAATACATTGCCATTCTGATGTTATGTTTTGTTGGACGCCTAAGAGGATCAGTTTCTTCTTCTGAAATACAACTTTCGTAAAAGGACTTGGGTTAGAAGTGGCACACATGAAACAGTTCAAAAAATAGAATATATATATATATGGAACATCAAAAGGAGCCTCAACAATAGTCCATGGTGTGTGAGTGAACCTGCTGCTAAGTCATACCAAAAAACAAAAAAAAAGTCAACGTTATTAAATATTCGATGACAATGAACAAGGGAGCCATTTAATTAAATTATAAAATTATCTTCAACATCTTTATGTGTTGCAATTGGAAGGTTCCTTCCTTATACAACAGACCTGAAGCTGAGAGTTGAGACCATAGTTAGCTACATTTTAAATTCACATTCAACAGTGTGACTAAGGCTTCATGTTCAACAGTATCATTTTTTTCTAGAATGGATATCAAGGTTGTAATATTCAGCGTGCATGGATTCATATCTCAGGCTTTTAATTGAACTTAACAACGAACTGGTCATAGCACTGGACAAGACAGCATCCTACACTCTCATATCAGTATGTTTGTAATGACCAGCAACGTTACCAAAACAAACTAAGCTTTGTGTCCCAATTAGGCGAGATAGGCTACATGAACAATTTTTTGTCATTCCATTCTATCAAGGATTATATGTGCAGATAAACTAAATATATTCCTATTCTTCTTTTGTACCGCATTCCAAGTTAGTTTAGGCCTTCCCTTCTCCCTATCAACATTTGTTTGGGTGGACTATTAAAAGGGGCTTTATGTGAGTTGCATTTTAGTATTTTGATACAGGGTTCTCCAGCATCACAGAAATACTCAATCACAACCAATGGCTTCATCTCATGAAACTCTAGATCTCTGACATGGAATAACATGCTGCTGTCTTATCTGTCCTGATTTGAATAACATGCTTCAATTTTATTCAGCTAGGAGCTGGTGAACTTCCTGAATATTGCAGAAGCTCTTGTTCTCTTGATAATGAAGCAAATTCACCTTTTTGAAAAATTCTCGGCCAAGTTACTGCTTTATCTTTGTTATGGTACCTAGTTAACATTATTGATGATCATTGTTCATCGCCAGCTCATAACATTTTTGAAGCAGTCTATCACATAAAAGGTAAATTATATCCGTAAAAAATAATGGCTTTAAAGAAGAAGAGGCCCAAGTAGATGCATCAGTTGAAGGTTCCAAGGCCACTGACTAAGAAGCAGCAGATGAGACTACTTGTACTGGCAAGGAGGACCAGTTGTAAGTTTCAATGTAGAAAAGTTCTAAAAAAAGTGATGAACTGATAATATTTTAGGGTGTATGATAAACAATTTTAACAAAATGGAATGATGAAGAATAAAAAGGAAAAAGAATATGGAACACCTACTAGTTGCAGTACAAAGATTTTTAGTAGAAAGAAACCATCCCAAGGGAAATAACATTTTTTTACACAATCATGTGATCCATGAACTCAGTGGAGCAACATTTATCTGAAGGAAGAAAATCAAAAAGCAAATGGGCATCCAGAATTTGTAGCCAAAAGATTACATTTGACAATCTTCCTGAACAACATTAGCAAGAACAACAATCAGCAAATCTTATCAAAAATTATACACAACAAACTAGATAAGACAAATGATAATTCAGAAATGTTAAATGAATAAGCAATGAGCGTTGATAAAAACAAAACCAGAGGGCATGGACTCCAAAAAACTATCACAAAACAACCTATAGGGTTCTCAGATAGTGGCATATTCAGGATCCAAGGAATCAATAAAGCACATTTTGAAATAAAAGAGATGCCAAGTGCTACAAACAAACATATTAGCTACCTTCTTCTTCTTTTTTTTTACGTGAATGAGTGTTATTTATTGGAGGCATCCAACCCAAAATCAATTGGAAGAAGCATGGAAACCAAACACCGAACCAGACATAGAAAACAAATGGGTGGATAGGGTTCGATTTTCTGTTCCTACCATTGTTGATGGTTGAAGGGGCAGCTTAGAGAAGATGTATGACAAGTCCCTAAACATTCGACCCGGTCCAACACTCCCCGCTACACATCTGACGCGGTCTAACACTCTTGTACAACCAACCCGTACCCGGTGATATGGAGTTTATAAAAATATCATAGAAACGGATTTGGGGCAAAGACTTTGCCCACGATCGACCACCAAGACTTGGCTCGAATATCATGTTGGATCACCAATTGGGATTATCCCAAAAGCTTAAGATAAAGATGTGAACAAAGCAGTATTACTCTGGGAAATTCAGTTTAAAAAAAAAAAAACAAAACAAAACAAAAAGATAATAATCTGTCACAATCGATTCAGAATAATTCACAATGATCACTTAGCAAATTATAACAAATTAACAATTAGCAATTAAATTAAATCTCAGCAGCTAATTAACCGATACACGACAATCAACAGAAATTATATATAAACTAAATTACAACGAGAGAGAAGCGAATTACCAGTGAGCATGAGAATGGAGGGTTCAGGGAACTTGAAGCGATTGATCAACAAGTGCTTCATACACTTGGCATCATTGATGCAACCTCTGAGCTCGTGTCGAGAGTTCCGATACGAAATCCCACAGATCACAGCTCTCTTGCGTCCGTGGACCGATGGGGATTGACCGGGCGGCGCGTGGTTGTAAGGAGACGGAACAGCCGGCGGAGGAGGAGGAGGAGGCTGAGTCTGCGGCGGAGGAGGGTAGTGGTGGTGGTAGGAGGAAGAAGGAGGCGGCGGAGGAGGGAGGCCGCGAGGGTCAGCGACGTTAGTGACAGCCTGGCATAGGGCGCATCGGATGGACCTGGCCCCTGGTGGTAGCTGTAAAGGTGTGCGGCAATTTGAACAGTCCACCAGCATCATCATTTTAGAGAGAGAGAGAGTGTGGGTGTATTTTAGAGAGAGAAACGACAGAGATGAAAGAGAACTTACAGAGAGAGAGAGAGAGAGAGAGAGAGCAAATTGAAAGGGGTGTGTATGGGGACAGAGATATAAGAAGGAAGAGGGTCAATCAGGAAAGAATGGCAGTTGTAATAGAAGAACACGGAGGGAGAGAGAGAGAGAGAGACTTCGAAAAGGGGGAAGAGGGAAATATAAAAAATAATAATAATCACTGTGTTTTGTTTGAATTTTCTGAATTAAGTTTTTTAAAATTTGAATTTTTTAATTTTTTTATTTTTAGTGAATATTTTTAAAATTTTTAATATTTTTTTTATTTGTTTCGATGTACCTTATTTAGATGTGTCTAAAAAGTAAAAAAATTATAAAAAAAAAAAATTAGGCTGGCAGTGACAGGTAGTAGAATTATAATTTTGTCCCTGTTGTTTTATTTTGAAAAATATGAGAATAGAGATAAAATTGTCATTTTAATTGTAAATATCATTTTAACATATTTTTCAATACACTAATTCAAATAAAAATTTATCTCATCTTCCCAAACACAAAAATTAAAATAGCCTATTAAAATAGCTAAAAAGTTAAAAAACCTCTAAAATAGTCACTTTCCAAACGAGACCAAAAAGAGCATTAATAGAGACTCCCTCCAATCACCACTCCACCACCTTATACACATGTAGCGGATGGTGATCGAAAAAAAAGGAAAAAAAAAAACAAAAGAAAAAGTAGTCAATCAAAAAAGAAAATGAGTCAGGGAGAGAAAATGGATCTTAAACATTTTTGATATAAAAAATAACAGCAATGATTCATCCCACTAAAAACACCACCACTAATAGCACTAATGCATTAAAAAAGTAAAAAAAAAAATACAACTCCAAGACCAAAACATCACATCATTAATGGCGGGACCCATTGCCACCTAATTAGTGGGAACACTAATTAGTGCTCCCAAGCATTTTTCAAAAAATAATAATAATGACATCGGGCAGCTCCCCATCTCCGGCTCTATTCTGTGCAGTGCGTACATGTGAATTTTATTTTATTTTTTTTTGAATTTAAAAGCTTCGTTGTCGTGGCCTTCCATTTTTTTCCTTTTGCTTGGGTGAATCTATTTGTGCCCATCATCATCTTGTTTGGTTTTTGGAATTTTTTTTATTTTTAAATATTTTTTTTAGTATTTTTTGTAATTTTTGTTTTTATTTTTTTAAATACACTTAATTGAGATATATTTTTTAAAAAATCTTTAACCGATGGGGGCGTTCGGGCAAAAAATGCATCTTGAATTTTTCTTACCCGAAGGTCCACACACTAATTTTTAATGGTCTTGTTTAGTATAGCTGTTAAAACGATTACAGATTATAAATTATGACTTTAATCAGAAGTTGTTAATTTGTTTGGTATAATTGTTACAATATAGATTTAAGTGACTGAGTAGTGTTTGTTAAATAAACTGTAAACTAACTTTTTCAATTAACTTTTATTTTTTATTATTCACTATTTGTCTACATTTCTCATAAAAAATAATAATAATATTTTATAGTCCATTTGTGTCTTCTTTTATTTTTAAAAAAATAAAAAATAAAAAAATCTAAGAGTATAATCGTGAATTAACATGTCCACAGCAGAAACTGATAATCAGAAGTAAGGGGTGAGCAGCCTCTCAGAATCAGCTTTTTTGACTTAAAATAAGTTGTTATAATCAGAAACTGTTTGAAATAAGTTTAATCAAACAACCCAAAATAACTTTTTAAAAATCAGAAGTCATAAGTTAACTCAAAAAAACCCCACCAAACACCCTCTATATCCATAAAGACAAACTATCATACAATGACCAAAATATCCTTCCACTTCTGCCCCTCACTTTTATCCCCTCAAATCTTTGTCTTTGTTCAAAAAAAAAATCAAACCCTCAACTCTCTCTTACACACAAATTGACTGGGAATTGGGGTGGCTGCTGTGTGGGGTACACAGCAGCCACTGCTGTGCAGCCATTTGGGCCTTTTTCGGGGTCCATTTTAATAATCCGAACCGTTCACATTTTAGAATATATCAAGTAGAACATACCTGTAAAAAATCAAGTTAATCGGATAACGTTTACCCATTCATTCACTGACATTTGTATCTACAAAAATAAATAACAATTGTAATTTAAAGTATTAAAATGAATACAAATATGAGTGGATGAATGGATAAACACTATCCGATTAACTTGATTTTTTACAGATATGCTCTACTTGATGTATTCTAAAATGTGAACGGTTCGGATTATCAAAACGGACCCCGAAAAGGGCCCAAATGGCTGCACAGCAGTGGCTGCTGTGCACCCCCGCACAGCAGCCACACCAGTTCCAATTGACTGCCTCCTCTCTTTTCTCCCTCACCGGTGCCTCCTCCCTTTTCTCTCTCTCTCTCTCTCTCTTAAAAAAAGTCAATAAATAAATTAAGAGATAAAATTATAAGTAAAATGACTTTCAAAACAAACAAAAGAATTTTTTACCAAACTATTTCACAAAGGTTAAACATTTTACCAACAAAAAATATATGTTTGACATAATACCTTACAACCTCTTTCGATTGAATTTATCACCAATTTACTCTTAAAAAATTTACTAAATACAAAAATTATATAAAAAAATTTACAAAAATTTAATACATTTTCTTATTTTTGTGTATTTATTGATTTTTTTTTATATATCTTTACAAATATTTTACTTTTAAGGTGTACATAGGTTAGTTGTATTTAAAAAGGTAAAGAATTGTTTAAAATATTAGAAAAATTCACTAAAAATAAAAAAATACAAAAAAAAAATAAAATCATTTTTAGAAAACCCATCAAACCCAACTTTCTCAATTGACATACACATGACTTGAATTTTTTATTTTTTTAAATCCGCACCAATATTTTTCAAGTAATACTAAACTATCTTTATCTTTTCCTATCACAAACGTTAATCCTATGAGTAATGTTAGAGACCCAAAATAATCTATCAAATGTTTTATCAAATTTCTCACATAGGTGTGGGACCTACACACATGTAAATTTGTATATAACCTTACCGAGAGGTTTGATAAAATATTTAATAAATTATTTGGGATTTCTAGCATTACTTTAATCCTATTGACATTTCCACACCCCGTCACATATTTTCACACGCTTTCCCATGACCCTTCTCAACTCTAACATCTCTTTACGCCCCCTTCACATTGCACCTACAACTTCCCTCTGCCTCATAGCTTCCCTCGCCTATCGCGCCACTACCGCTCAACCCATCCTTAATTACCTACCCACCAATCCATACACACTATTTCTTTTTCTCACTCAATTGCAATTGATCAATTGCAATCTAATCTCTTTCTTTTCTAGATCATTGTCCAAGTTATTAGTGGCAAGCTAAAAATGCAAGGTTGTGAAGGGGTAGGGGTGGGTAATGGGCCTGCGATGGGCTATTGCGGAAGGCATTGCGCTAAAGACGAGGTGGTCACCAATAGTGGAAAGCATTGATGGTGGTCGCACAATGGCGAGGTAGTGACTAGATTAGGAAGGGTGTGGCGGTGGTACGACAGAGTTAGGGAGGAATGGCAAAGGTGAAGGATTCCAAGACAGTGATAATGGCAATTGTTGATGGTAATGGTGGTTGTTGATAATGTGTACTAAGAATGTTACATATATTGTCTATAATGGTATTTTAGGGAGAAAAAAAAAAAAAGCCCAAGCAATGATATGAATTCATATGAATTGTGAGGATTAGTGGCCTTTAATAAAATTGTCCAAGATAATATTCTGTCAAATTATTAACTTTGTCCCTTGACTTTTCAATTGTGACACATTTGATCCTGAATTTTAAATCTTATTCCAAATAAGGACAATTACAGTTACCATCGGATTTTTTAAGGACAAAATCGTCAATTTGATAAAATATAAACTAATTTGACAAAAATATATATCAAAAAAATATTTTTGAATTTTAAAAATAATAATGATAAAATTATATAAAATTGATAAATCTTTTAGACATTTATTTATTTATTACCAAATTAATTTTTATTGTTTGTTTGGATGATAGTGCCTGTTTGGCAGAAATTATTTACAGCTTATTTCAGCTTTCAGCTTAATTTAAACTATTTTGATGTGTTTGGTTTAGCTTATAGCTTTGTAGAAGTCAGAAATCAGCTTATTCTTTGAGTGGAGCAAGAGATGCTTCAAGAATAAGCTGGAAATCAGCTTAAGCTGAAAGTTATAAGCTATAAGCTGTTTAGGCATAAGCTATAAGCACTTTCCCACAGCTCTACCAAACAGGGCTATAATCATGTAAATTTAATTTTTAAAAATTAATCATGTAATTTTTATTAATTTTAATCAATTTTACATAATTTTATTTGTGGTGGTTAGAAATAATTTTTAAAAATTTTAAAATATTTTTTTGACATTTATTTTTGTCAAATTAGTTTATATTTTATCAAATTGACGATTTTGCCCTTGAAATTAAACAATGATAACTTCAATTGTCCTTATTTGGAACAAGATTTATAATTCATGGTCAAATGTGTCATAATTGAAAAGTCAAGGGTTAAAATGACACAAGTCCCAAACTGTAGGGACTATTAGTGTAATTTGCTATAATTTGTCTTCTCTTTTAAGGTTTTTCGATTAAAAAAATAAGATTTTTTAAGTTGTAACTTGTATTTTTTTTTCCTCTTCGCTTTACTTATTTGAAACTCTCAAGTACATGTTGATAAAAGAGTGACATGTCTTTTCTTAATTACTGGTGTAAAAATATTTTTGAGAGCATTTGGAATACTTACACAACAAAAACTATTTGATAACATATTTAACTAAGCATGTTAACTTATTTTATAAATTATCAAAAGCTACACCAAATAAATTTACAATTTATTTTAATTATTTTGAACTAGTTATCTAAAAGTTTATAATCATAAAAACTAGATGTTAATATATATATATACACACACTATTATATAAAAGCACACAACTTGGTCGGTGTAAAGGTGCCTCTAGTGTACCTCACAAAAATCACTAGGCATCTCATTTCTTAGGACATCCCACGCCCAAATTTAAATTTTGGTGAATTGTGCTAGACATCCTAAATATTCTCAACCTTTCTCTCTTA